TATATATATATATATATATATATAATGGCTTTAGAAACTTCCCACACACTTGCAATGTTCTAAATTCTTAAACCTACGTCATATTAACAACATACGTACAGTTCTGTATATGTAGCTACTAACTTTTACTCACCAGCTCTGCAGAACAGGAGCGACTCTCGGTTCCGCTTGGCTCTGATCCGACTCGGTTCTGTTTCTGCAGATGTACCCTGCAGCGATGAAGACCACAATCAATGTTTTAAACTCTTAAACCTACTAATTGTAACAACACACGTGTAGCTATTAAATTTTACTTACCAGTTCTGCAGAACAGCAGCGGCTTGGTTCCGCTTCGACTTGGTACCGTTTCGGCGGATCTACCCTGCTGTTCTGGTTGGGTCTCTGGCTCGGTATTGTGGTGGTGGGCTCCAGAGAGACCACCAGACCAAAAGCGCACGTCCCTGCTCAGAGGTCCTCGTGGGCCAGCTAACAGTTCTAGAATTAGCAGATGTGTCTGAAGGTCCAGTTCTGCTCTGGTTCTGGTCCGTTCTGTGCAGCACTAGAGCACTGAAATGCATTTTGGAGGGAGGCGGACTTTCGGATGGCCAGCACGGGACCAGATTGGGTCAAAATCTGGATGAAAAAAGTTTCAGTGGGCTCCAGAGAGACACCGGACCTACGGCGGCGTGTCCTGGCTTGAAATCCTTGTGAGCCGACTACGAGCTCTCAGGTTCATCGCTGAGACTGGGGGTCCGGTTCTGTGCACCCAATCAGCACAAGAGACGGGTTATTTTTCTTGTGACTCTGACGTTTGTAAAGTTTATTTTCTTAAAGAAACTTCAAGTGACTTGATTAAAATCTTACGTTTGAAAATCTGGTTCAGCAGTCAGGACTTCACTTTGAAAAAATGCTGTTTGGCAGAAATCAGCAGCCGGAGGCACTACAATATTGGCTTCTGGGAAATGAAGTCATTTTGAGTGGCAATTACAGTGTAGGCCTATTGGAAAAAAAACTACAAAATGGTGGCGCCTGTCTGAATTTACATTTTTTTTATTTTACTTTTATCAACCACATGAGTACAGTAACATTACTGTAAAGGTAAATGGACTGTACTTATATAGCGTCTTTCTATCTGATCAAGATATTCAAAGCTCTTTACACTACAATCTGTGTCCTCATTTACCCGTTCATACAGAACTCTACTAGATCTCTACAAAGCTAATTGAACAAATCATTCTAAAGAGACTAATCAGTGCTTTGAGATCACATTCATACACTGATGGGACACATCGGAGAGAGCGAGGGGTTCAGTGTCTTGCCCAGGGACACTTCGGCATGTGACTGCTGGTGGATTTGAACCTCCAACTATTGCATTGGAGGACGACTGCTCTAACCACTCAGCCACAGCCACCCAATAATATTACTATACAGTTGACAATCATGTGTCGTGTACTGTACTGCACTGTACAAATTTTTTTTGTACAATTTTACTGTATGTTGACAAACCACGAGAGTGAATCCGTGAAAGTCGAACCGCGAAGTAGCGTGGGACTACTGTAATCTCACTCATCCCCTTAACTGTCTGAGTTTTGGTATTAATAAGGTCAGAAGTTAAATACACTTTGATTTTATCTGCTGATGCCTTTTCAAAAATCTGTGAGACTCTTCTTTAGTTGTCTGTAGTGTATTAATAGTTTATATATTCTGGAAAAACTTGCACACCACATATAGTTTTGAAAGAGGAAAATCCCTTTTTATGCTCTTATATAATGTTATATTAAAGTATCTAGTTAAAAGTATTTATGTATTTTTGTTAACCAGGTGCAGTGAAATACCTGGAGTGCTCAGCGATGACTCAACGTGGCCTTAAGGCGGTGTTTGATGAGGTCATCAGAGCAGGACTCTCCTCTGAACACACTAAGGAATTAAAGGAAAAAAACTGCAACATTTTCTGATGGAGATCAAGAGCGACTATAAAACCAGGCTGGAGGACGCCGTGCACTGACAGACACATCAGAAATATAAAGTACATCACACCTCCTGCAGCAAAGTTCTTTTTGCATTTAGTCTAGGGAAAAAGTGCAACACTGCTGTGAATCACAAGGTGAAATTAATTCCTTGAATGCAATTCACCTGGTAAGATTTGACATAAACACGTCTGTTTTCTGTTAATCAAACACTAAAATGATCAAGAATCAGTTTAAACATTTTGTTCAGATATGTATGTTACTGGGGAACAGTGAAGGTTTGGATGACGGTGAATCTGGTCTGCCGACTTTTATCTCCACTCCAAAAAGAACATCAACAAACCAGTTTCTCCTCTTTCCCAGCGCATTTCATTTCATCAGGGTGTTGCTTCAGGTGAGGAAAAGAACAAACTTCAAGAACATCAAGAAATCTTTCAGTGTTTTCTTTACTCAGACGGCCAACACAAGACGACTGGTTTACTTTAGCTAGTCTGAGGCCGAGCCGTCCAATGCAGAACATTAAGTGTGTGGTGGTGGGCGACAAGTAAGTTAGCTAACATTTTATTCTTTTTATTAACTTTTACAATCTAATAGTCTGACACATATTTTAATAAGTTAAAATGACTCAGTTTAGAGTTGACCCATGCAACAGGTGGATAACAAGATTATTTTTAATGTTCTGTGCATTTCTAATTAATAAGTTTTACGACTAAACGTCTGTACATTGTTAAAATTAGCTGAACTGTTTGATCAGCCTCATACACTCCAACCAACTTGTATTGTTTAATAAAGTCATTTATTTGATTGCTATGAGTTGTAATAAACTTGTATGACAACAGTGGACTTTAATAAATCTCTTCACATAATGCAAAGTCAATCAACTGAATCAAATCAGGTCCAGTAGTTACATAAAAGCAGGTATTAAAGAGAAAAATGTTAGTTTCTTTTTGGAGCAATACATTGTCCAAAGCCTTTATACTTCTACTCATGGCTTGTTTTAGTCATTAATTTAACTGTACTGTGTAAGGATTTAAACCTTTTGATAATCGATCAATAAACTGAAAAAGAAGAGAGAAATAGTGATTTTTTTTTTTGTCTATAGCAACTAACACCACGTGGCTTATGTTTCTTAAGCAAACTGGTTTCAGTGTGAGGTTATAAAGCTGGTGGGACAGGTTTTCACTCACTAGAAACTGAGTCATATTATTAGATAACTATAATCCATTTTTTTAAAACTGTTTACAGTACATGTACAAACATATTTATACTAATAGCTCTGTCACAACCATAAATATAATCTGACAACTAACTGGAATATGAAAAAAACACAGGGTTTTCTTTTGATTTGCAAATTATGTATCTTAGCAGATATGATTCCACCTCCATTCATTACAATAAGTTCAACGAGTAAATCTTAACGTTGATGAAAACTGCACTCGTTGACAGATTACATGATGATTCCCAAAGCACCTTTTTTTTTACATACTCCCATAAGACTGTTTTTGATCTCTGGTTGCAAAGGAAGACTCAAACACTGTGCATTTAGTCAAAACTAAAATACTACACAAGCTAAAACAGTTTTCATTTTTCAAGCTAGACATAAAACATAGTTTTTTAAAATAGGCTCACTGTGGGCATGATTGTTAAATAGATTTCAGCTTAATTGATTAACTGAACTGTTTTTTTTCCCAGGGTGAGATGATTATACAGTTCAATGGTTTGTAGTAGTAGTTTCTCTTCGCCAGCACAGAAAGGATTTGTTTGACCAATATTAATCTGTCACTCTCAGATGAGAGGGTCTGGATGTTCAGGAACAACCCAAAGACCACCAAGACATGCGCCTGCTATGAAATAGTTTCTCTGTCTACAGGGGAGATAAGAAAAAAGACCCAGCTCTAAAAAAAAAAAGACACTGTCAAGCCCCAAAAACTTACAGCTGCCCACATGAACTTGCCAAACGCTTTATGGAGGAACGTTTAATGGACAGATACAAATATTTCTTATTTGTCCTCAGTGTTCAAAGGTTTTCAAACCTGAGAATGTTGTACCAGCTGTCAAGCATGGCTGAAGTAGCATCATGATGTGTTGCACAAAGTTGATGAAATAACAAAGGAGGACTACATTCAAATTCTTCTACTTCAAATCAACAACTAGGTGGTTGAAACTTGGACCCTGCAGGGTGTTCCATGAGGACAAGGATCCCAAACACACAGCAGAACTGGTGGATAGAATAGACTAACATTTAGCTTCTGGAACAGTTTTCACAAAGCCCCATTCTCAGCCCAATTATAACTATGAATATAAGCCAGGTCCATGTCAGGAAACCAACTAATTTAAATGAATTCTACCAATTCTACAATAAGGAGTGGACAAATATTCAGTCAGATCTGAGCGAGAAGCTTGTTGGTGGCTATTTAAAGTGAATGATTGAAGTGCAACTTGCTAAGGAACAATACACCTTAATAAAAATTTGTGAAAGTGTATGCAGAAGTTTAACTCTATACAAATGAAAAATAAATAAGTAAATTCAAAGACGTTAGCAAGCTCTGGCCTTGGCAAGCTAAAATACATTTTAGAGCCCTCAGCACCACTTAATGAAAGATTTAAATTATCACCCATTTTTTGCTTTTAAAAATCTTTATACATGTGACATGTGACGCAAAACCATTTAAAATCCATGCACATACTTAGTGCTCTGACCACAACTGCATCTAAAATGTTCGATAGTTGTACTAGTTAAGATATTTCTCTCCTCGCTAAGTTGATTAAAAGGTTAGACTATCCATTTAAATTAATAAATATAGCTCAATGAGTTAACTTATAAGATCCAAATAGTTCACTCGATCACTAGCTGGGCTCTTTTGGCCGTACAAGTTGACACTACATAACAAGTTGTTTTTTGCAGTTGGACTAAAGAGTTTGTCTCGCTTTACTGGTGTACTTGGGAACTTGTTTTGCTTCAATTCAAAGTTTACCTATTTAAATGTTATCAATGTTTCATTCAAAACATCTGATGGGTGAAGTAGTGATACAAACATGACACTAGTTAACTATGGGAGGACTTAGTCTTTATAGTTTATGTTCTGTAGTAGTGCATGTCTTATGGCTATGTGTATCAAGCAAGACTGGTCACACTGACTAAAACAACAGTGGGGTTTACAAAGACTTATGAAGCAGTGCCATCAAAGCACTTTTTTGAGTAGTCAGACAATGAGATGAAGTGCATGTCAAACTAATGCCTACTGTTCTCAGTATCCCCTCATTTATCTCTCAGGGCTGTGGGTAAAACATGTCTGCTTATGAACTACACCACCGATACCATCCCTGCAGAATACGTCCCCACAGTGTAAGCCTCACACAACACTGTTGCAAATACTGTATCTGAAAGGTCTACTGTATTTTGTGGAAGATATAATGACTTGAGAGAGTTGTTGTCACAACTATCAATTTTCTGCAGATTATTTCCCCCTCCTGTGGTGGAGCAATAATTATATGACTCAACTTGAAATGACTTTCAACACGTTCAAGCATATGGGGAATCTATGAGTGCAGATTTTGTCTATCAAAAAATGTACAAATGTTATAAAATATTTATGTCCTTACAAACATTATAAACAAACCAATAATTATATATATGTCTTCGTTTACTGTAATTTCCCATCTTTCAATGCCACATGCAGTGACTTGTCAATGGACTGTAGTAACAACTGGGGTGGCCAATCAGGTTCCAGGGGTGGCATGTGCCACCCCAGCTACCTCTTTGGCTCCGCTTATGTGCCCTTCTAACTTTATTTGGACAGTCATTGCAATTTGTGCAAAAGAAGCATTAAATGACACGTGAAACACCCATTTTTAATCTATAAGTCCACAAACCATTAAGTAGAAGGCTTGAGTTAACGAATAAAGTTTAGAACAAATCATCAGACAGGAAGACCCCAGCTAGGAGTCAAATCCTGCTTCTTCTTTCTGCAAGGCAACAAAGCCAACGTGGCCGCCATGCAGCCTTGTTGAATTTGTTCTGTTCCTCGTTAGTTCGAGCTCCACTGTGTAGAACTGTTGGGGAGTTTAGGTAAAGAAGGCAATCTAAAAATGTGACAAAACAATAACTGTATTTGACTAGAACTTAGTATTTTATTGTATGTACACAGCAGTAAACCGCCAGATCAAAATAAAAGTGTTTTGAAAGCCAAATCTATCCTCTCCTAACTGCAGCTTCGAAATCTACTATGCAAATTTGATGGTAGATGGGAAACCAGTGAGCCTGGGTCTGTGGGACACAGCAGGACAGGAGGACTATGACAAGCTCAGACCCCTGGCCTACCCAGATGCGGTATGTTTATACAGAGTAAATGTGTGCGCACATCGGTTCAGACATCATCTCTGTTCACAGTCCGGCACAGTGCAGTGTCACTGAGCATTGTTAACAGCTGTCTTGACTTTGCACTGACCTGCAGAAGAAAAGGTGATCCATGTCTGATTCATTTCCTTTTCTTTTGTTGCAATTTGTGCGTGAACATATGCATTCTTTCTGTCTGTTAACCACAGTACAAAGTTTATTAAATCTCTCAGAAAGCATTCAGTGGATGCATTAGCTTCAGAAGCGTTTGTAATGTGTGTGTGTGTGTGTGTGGGGGGGGGGGTTTCAGGGAAAATTTTGAATAAAGTACATGCCATTTCGTGCGTTCTGGTGTATTGTAACGGGTTGCTAAACATCTAATTTTACCTACATAAGTAAACACTTGATTCAATAACTACAAACCGGATTCCAAAAAAGTTGGGACACTAAACAAATTGTGAATAAAAACTGAATGCAATGATGTGGAGGTGCCAACATCTAATATTTTATTCAGAACAGAACACAAATCACAGATCAAAAGTTTAAACTGAGAGAATGTATCATTTTAAGGGAAAAATCTGTTGTTTCCAAATTTCATGGCGTCAACAAATCCCAAAAAAGTTGGGACAAGTCCATTTTTACCACTGTGTGGCATCCCCCCTTCTTCTTACAACACTCAACAGACGTCTGGGGACAGAGGAGACCAGTTTCTCAAGTTTAGAAATAGGAATGCTCTCCCATTCATGTCTAATACAG